TCCCACCCGCCCAGCCCCCGCCATCCCATTCCAGAGCAGCAGCCCCGCACTGTGCACTCCAGAGGGAAGCCGACAGCCAAAGTTACAAGTAATTCCCTCCTTCCTCCTCCTCTTCAACAACAAAAGCAGCCCCACAAGTCCGCGTGGCCTGCAGGGAGCCTCCTCCAACCACAACGCCCGATCACAGCACATTCAGAGCCAGGAAATCAGGCCCAGCACAAACAAACAGGCTGGATGCGGATCTCTGACGCCTCTGTTGTCCAGCTGGCCAAGCCCATCTGTTCTGACAACACAGAGAGCGGGGGCACAAACTGAAGCCTGGGAAGCTCCAGCTGAACCCGAGGAAGAACTTCTTCCCTCTGAGGGTGCCGGAGCCCTGGCCCAGGCTGCCCAGAGGGGCTGTGGAGTCTCCTTCTCTGGAGATATTCCAGCCCCGCCTGGCCGCGGTGCTGTGCCCCCTGCTCTGGGTGACCCTGCTTGGGCAGGGGGTTGGACTGGGTGACCCACAGAGGTCCCTGCCCACCCCTCACCATGCTGGGATTCTGAAGTGCTGATCTACACACAAGTACGTGAGAGGCTGGAGATAGGTCTGTGTGTACACACACGCAGAAGAAAATCGGCAGATAAGCGTGCCTGTGAAGTGAGCGTGAGCATGAAGTGAGTCTTCCTGCACGAGGAAGGCTCTCCTATTTACTTAGTTACCGTCTTGTTTACTCATGGGATTAAACGTATTGGAAAGCTGGAGGGGAGGCTCAGTGCTGAGCAACCAAGAGGTGCAGGGCTGCCGTGATAGCTGTTTGTGTGTCCTCCTGCAAAGGCACGAGCAACATTAGTACCGCCCGCTGGCTTTGCGCTACGGCACGGTGCGTTTGCACCCTGTCGCACTCTGCCGCGTCGACAGGCTGCTCGGTGCGATTCCACGGCGCGGGTTTCGTTGCTGGTCACACTGCCGTTCCCTCTTCCCGCTCGGCTCCTTCCCAAGCAGCTGCCCGTGCTACGCGTGATCAGGGTAGCGACCAGGAGGAGTCCAAGCGCGGCGTAATCCCTCGCTGCTGATGAGTGAATGTCTTGTTGGAGAAAGCAGTGATGACCAAAAGTGTCGGTTCCTTGCCTGGATCTGCAGTTTCTCAGTACTGCTTAAAGAGCCGGGTAGTTCGGGTTTTCAGGTTTCTGCGTTGTCTCAGTCTCTCCGATTAGCTCACCCACGCTTTAGTGTGCCAGAGTTTGGAGACTTTGCCTAGTGACAGAATCACAGAATCACAGACTGTTCGGGGTGGGCAGGGCCCTCTGGGGGTCACCCAGCCCAACCCCCTGCCCAAGCAGGGTCACCCAGAGCAGCGGGCACAGCGCCGCGGCCAGGCGGGGCTGGAATATCTCCAGAGAAGGAGACTCCACAGCCCCTCTGGGCAGCCTGGGCCAGGGCTCCGGCACCCTCAGAGGGAAGAAGTTCTTCCTCGGGTTCAGCTGGAACTTCCCAGGCTTCAGTTTGTGCCCGGTGCCCCTTGTCCTGTCGCTGGGCACCACTGGAAAGAGTCTGGCCCCGTCCTCCTGACCCCCACCCTGCAGATATTTAGAGGCATTTCGAAGGTCCCCTCTCAGCCTTCTCTTCTCCAGACTCAACAAGCCCAGCTCCCTCAGCTTCTCCTCCTAGGAGAGATGCTCCAGTCCCCTCCTCATCCTCGCAGCCCTCCGCTGGACTCTCTCCAGCAGCTCCTCATCTTTCTTGAACTGGGGAGCCCAGCACTGGACCCAGCACTCCAGATGGTTCCTTGAACTCCTTTTATTGTTCTGTTGCAGTTTTCTCCTGAGAGCTGACTTCACGAAGAATTAAGAGCCACAGAGATCGACCTGCTAGGCAAGGCCACGTGAGCTCGAAGCTGCAGGCAGTAGGGGAGCTGAATGTTGGTTCCAGCTCCTTTTAGAGACTGGTTCCTGGAGTTTTCTCCCCTCTACAGTTGAGTGCCACGCTTTCTGCCAAAGGTAGCCAGTTTGTATTTCAGAAAGGCTTGCCATGACTGGAGAGGCTTGTCCCAGCTAGCCTAAAGCTTCCTCCCGTTCCTTACTGCATCAGCTGGATTTTGCTCTCCGTGATAAAGCTCACGGTTTCGCTCAAGCTTTTGGCAAAGGATTTTGGAGACTCTGAACAGCCTGAGTTTCTCTTCCGGAGCCGTCTGAATGGCGATTCGTTCACAGACTTGCAAAGCATTCCTAAATACTCCCTCAAAAAGCTGTAGTAAGCCTTACAAGTGGCACTTAGTGCCTACTCCTCTCTTGCCCCTCATGGACAAGCGGGAGGAGACGTCCTGGGGAGCTGTGGAGAGGCTGCTCCGGCCGGCCCGGCAGCGGGAGCTGTCGTCCCGCGAGCACAGGGTGGGAGCACAGGGCAGGAGCCCTGCTGCAGCGGGGTGAGAGGCTGCCTGGGGCCCAGCAGTCCTTGGATTGCCTGCTGAGGAATCAGATGGAAATTCTTACCGGATAATCTAATCCGTAAGTTTGCCGACTATAAACGAACCGCTTTTAAAAAGTTACTGCAGCACTAAATCAGCATCTAATTGAAGTTTTTGCTGAGAAGCAAGCTTGGGTTGGTTTTTTTAAGAAGATGGGGAGTTAAGGTTCTTCAGAGCAGGTTCGTATGCGTGCTTGCGCAGGTCTCTAGTGCTGGCGTGAAGCGGTGCCGGCGTGCCTGGGCACGGAACGCCCACCTGGCCTGGGGTTTGCTGCTGCTCCTCCGAAATCAGCTCTCCTGTCTGAACCTCGTGCTTCGAGCCCCTCTCACACCAACTGCAAAGTCTCAGATCCACGTACTGGGTGCGGCGGCTGGAAAACCCGGCGATGAGATGCTCTTCTGCGCTGCAGGGGCGAAGAAGGCAGAGAAGCTTTCGAGGCTGAATTCGTATAAAGCCTCTGAAAAGTGGTGTTGGCACTTAAAATGTTGAGTGTGGTTGGGAATGTTGTATATTCACACTGTACAGGTATGAATATGTTGTAGAATAAATCTTTTGAAAGACTTAAGTAGAAACCAAGATCACTTAGAGCGTAATTAAGTGTGCCCTGGGTGCCAAGAAGGCCAATGGGATCCTGGGGTGCATGAGGAGGAGTGTGGGCAGCAGGGCGAGGGAGGTTCTCCTCCCCCTCTGCTCTGCCCTGGGGAGGCCCCATCTGCAGTGCTGTGTCCAGTGCTGGGCTCCCCAGTTCAAGAAAGGTGAGGAGCTACTGGAGAGAGTCCAGCAGAGGGCTACGAGGATGAGGAGGGGACTGGAGCATCTCTCCTCCGAGGAGAGGCTGAGGGAGCTGGGCTTGTTGGAGGAGGGTCTCCTCTGGAGATATTCAAGACCTGCCTGGACGCGGTCCTGTGCCCCCTGCTCTGGGTGACCCTGCTTTGGCGGGGCGTTGGACTGGGTGACCCACAGAGGTCCTTTCCAACCCCAAACATTCCGTGGCTCTGTGATCTCTTGCCTGACACTCTTGTCTTGGACTTTCTTTGGAAGGAGAAAGTAGATTTACATCCAAAGCTTTCTAACAAAATATTTGATCTTCACTACTTCATTGATAACAGATGCTCACGTCTGCGTATTCTTAGTAAAAGAACGTTCTGAAGTATTAAAGCTTGGGTGCAAGACTTGCGTGGACTTGGGAGAGTTTCTAATTCTGGCTTTGATGGATTTGGGAAGGTTGTTACGGGGAGGGCTTGGAGGAATCGCCTTTTTGTTAGCGTTATGCTCTGGGCATTAACTTGGTAAAGCAGCCTCTGGCTTCGGAGTTGGTTTCAGAAGTCCTCTTCTGCGTCGAGGTGTAGGCTTAAAGTCTTACGGTGCTATAGAGGTCTCCTGAGCTGAGGGAGCCCGCGATCAGACAGCGGTATGAGATGACTGAACAAAGCTCTGCAAAGGTCTCTACCCCAAACTTAATTCTGTGATTTTAAAAACTTCCAGGCTTAGTTACTGCTGTATTTTCCTGCTGTTGAGAAGTTTTCTTTTATGGCATTTTTGCTTTTTAAATAAGAACATTTTAGGGCTGTTTATTGGGCCCTGGTGTAGGCTGAGAAGGTACCTGAAGGGTGCAGGCTTTCTCTGTGCTGCCGTGGTGGTCTTGTGCTAACGGGGTGTGTTGGTTCGTGCTCTTTGTGTTACTGTGCCCTAAGTCACGAAGTTCCTTCTTCCTTTGTGAATTTGCAAGCCATTAATCCAAAGAAAGATAGCAGACAGATTTCCTTCTGCCTGGTCAGTCCTTTTCTTTACTTTAAGCTGGAATTTCTAAGAACTTAGGCAGTAAAGATAAGGTTTGGATCCTTTCATGGCTCTTAAAGCGCTTGCAAGAGCTCCACCTTGCTTTCGTTGTTTGAAGCAGATGAGTGTGGGGACGTTCAGGTGCAAAAATGTCCTTTCAACATCAGCCTAAGGATGTCCCCCAAACCCTCCCAGAAGGTGCTGCGAACCTCTCCCTTCTGCAGGGCTGCTGACCGTGGGGAGGGCTGCAGGCGAGAGGGGCTGGCTGATGGCTCCCGCGCTGCCCACGCGCCTCGGACGTGGCCGAGTTCTCCTGCTGCCCCTGGCCGTAGGTGTAGCTCCAGTACGTGGCTAAGAAAAATATTGCTGCTGCCAGAGCCGGTGGCACAAATCACAGAATCACAGAATGGTGGGGGTTGGCAGGGCCCTCTGTGGGTCACCCAGCCCAACCCCCTGCCCAAGCAGGGTCACCCAGAGCAGGGGGCACAGCACCGCGGCCAGGCGGGGCTGGAATATCTCCAGAGAAGGAGACTCCACAGCCCCTCTGGGCAGCCTGGGCCAGGGCTCCGGCACCCTCAGAGGGAAGAAGTTCTTCCTCGGGTTCAGCTGGAACTTCCCAGGCTTCAGTTTGTGCCCGTTGCCCCTTGTCCT